TTCTCATAGTCTTGAGCAAATTAATCAATTACTTCGTTGATGAAATTACCTTTATATACATATATCTATTTATAAGATGTCGATGAATACTAATCAAACAAAGTCTCAGAAAGTCACTATAATAATCAAAATAGGAATTGGATAATGCAAATGTATCTAGTTTAGAAAGTAGTAAGGATCAGGCGCTAGGGGGGGGGGGAAACAAACGCCCCCTTGCTCCCCCCACCGGACGCCCCTCAGCTCAATTCCTCAGTTTATTAAGAGATCATTTTTGATTGTACTTAAAGTTGGACCAATACTTGTTTGATCAGTAAGCAAACAATGTATGCACGCAGATATCGAAATGAGTCAACAACCAACGAAAGTAGCGTTATAGTAAGTACATATTACTTATTATAAGTAAGTAAGAAGTATTTGGGTAATTCATTATTACCTTTTTTTGTTGACGGTTCATGCACGAGCTCATTTCCTGTAGGTGCATACCAACATATTTGGAAAAACGATGAATAATTGAGAAAAACTAAATTACTCATCTCCATTTCCCATCAAATATTCCTCTGGGACTCTGTCTGATGCTCGTCTGTTGAGTAATCACAATCTAATATACCGGGTGGACCATTTAAGACTCGCAGAAAAATGATTTTACAAAAAAATAACCTAACACGTCGACTTTTATTTGAAGAGGGACACCGTTTGTTGCAAAAAAGATAATACATACTTCAACCCTCTACTCCCCGAGCAACCCTCTCGATAATTTGAAAATTCAATTCTGACACTAGAGTGCAGAGTATTTTGAATTTCAACTAGCTCGAGATACTCGAGTTCGAATGTTTTTTTTCCAATGGGCATTGTCATTCAATTACTCCACTGTATCGTTAGGGACCTAAATTAATTTTTCTTCTCACGCTTTTTTTATTCAAATAATGAGTATATGCGTTGTTCGAAATTATTGAAATTCAGAGCTCATCAAAAAGATGTTAGAGTCCTGAAGTTGAATAAACATGTTGAAAAGGAATATTCTCAGATAAATTATGAACATACAAAAATGGATATATATTTATATAAAGCAATACATTGAGAATTCGCATTCTCTATGTGATGAGAATATAAACTCTTTTTCAGTTTATTCAATAAGAAACAACTACTTTCCTTGCTATATGCCACGACGAACATTGAATTATATCTATTGAACACACACGATAAGAGTTTGAAAATAAAATATAAAATCTTCTGAAATTGAGAATTTGCATTCTCCTTCAGACAAAAATATGTATATGCACACATCATTCTGAATATTCAACAGAAAACAACTATACTTTCCTGGCTATTTGCCACGTCGAACATTGAATTATATCTGATGAACATCCAAAAGGAGAACATGAAAAATAAAAAGTAGAATCCTCCGAAATTGAGAATTGACATTCTTTTTCAAATCGGATGAATAATATGATGTATAATAATATAGAAATATAACTTACCAATTTATACAGCATTGAAATGAAGATTGGAATGCATAGGAGAAGTATACTGGCATAAACTCTGATCTTGATGAGCTTGAAAACTTCCAAAAATAATCATTCATATGAGTGGTATGGGAAATATTATTTCTCACACACAGGTTATATGACTTTATTGCAATGAAACCATTTCGAATTTCTAAATTCTCATCAGTAACCATGATGTCCACTTATTCTTACAGTCATTCTTCATGATATACACAATTTTCATCTCTCTATAATACAACTAAAACCGAGTAAAACTATAACAAAATGACATCTGAGAAAATTTGTTGACATTCTATTCCTGTCATCTGGACGTTTTTGCTTTTGGGTGTATGATAAATTGACATTCATCATACAGGGCGTGGAAAGAAATTCTTAATTGAGACTCTATCACGAATCTGCGATTAGAGGTCTATAAAAATCACAAGTTTCCATCGTTCAAGTTTGAACCCCCTGATTGGGTATGAAAGTGTTGAAAGGGAATATTCTCAGATAAATTATGAACATACAAAAATGGATATATATTTATATAAAGCAATACATTGAGAATTCGCATTCTCTATGTGATGAGAATATCAACTCTTTTTCAGTTTATTCAATAGAAAACAACTACTTTCCTAGCTATATGCCACGACGAACATTGAATTATATCTATTGAACACACACGATAAGAGTTTGAAAATAAAATATAAAATCTTCTGAAATTGAGAATTTGCATAATAGAATTCAAGATGGCAGATTCAAATTGGCTGTCGAGTTTTGTAATTATAATCCGATTCAATACAAAATTGGTATATGCGGATTTTGGGAGATTATGATTATTTTGTCAAAATTGGAAAATTCAAGATGACTGATTCAATATGGGGAAGATTTTTGTAATTATGATCCGATTTTATCGAAATTTGGTGTCTGGAATTTTCGGGGCCGGAGATTACGATTCCTCCGTCAAAATTAGGGAATTCAAGATGACGGATCCAATATGGCGGATGAGTTTTGTAATAATTATGATCCGATTCTATTAAAAATTCGTGTCTGAGGGTTTTTGGGGTTGGAGATTATGATTTTTTCGTCAGAATTGTGAAATTCAAGATGACAGATCCAATATAGCAAACGAGCTTAGTAATAAATAGTCGTTTGAAGAGCTCGACAGAAGTAGAAAATGAATAGTAGTTCAAGAAACCAAAGAGATAGGCTGCCTATAACTGAATGAAGTAGAAAATAAGTTGTATTTTGAAGAACTAAAGAAACACCGCTCTTGTGGATAGTCAAAAATTAGTACAAAATAAAATGGTAAAAGTGTGTTGATGAATATTTAACTGAAGAAATATTTTCTAGAAATAATGTATAAGCATAGCAAATAACGTTTGCCGGGTCAACTAGTATAAAATTAATTGGTAAAGAAACTTATTATATCTGCACGTTCAATATACAATTCAATTTATGAAACAGTCAGTAATAAATACCAAAATATATGTGCAGACTGTTTGGTTTAGAATGCAATGCGATCTGTTACGCATCGTGACAACAAGGCGTAGTTACGCGTATGTACAAGTCGCAGTTATATTTCACTTTGTATCATTTTGAATGAGTGTATCCGATTTGAATAGTCAAAAGAACAATGATGGAGTACTATCCATTCGAGACAAATTATTGAGCTTTCGAATCCCAGATACGAATACGTATTAGCTGTTAAAGTGTTAAATGATTGGTATTTCTGTATCATATGATGATTCCATCAAGAAGAAACTAATATCAAGATAACAAGTGGATGAAAAAAATGAATGATGGATCTTCGAGAAGTACCAAAGAAATATCTAGTAGTTTACATACCCCGCAAGTTGAATTCGTCGAGGAGTAATACCAAAAATAATTTTACTGTAGAAATCTGATGAGTTTCTAGCAAGAATTCTTGTGAATTTGTGTGAATCATGAGCGAACAAATATATTTAACCGAATTCATATTCAAGGAACAAATAAAATTATCTTTTTTCGTGTACTAGTAATGTCTTTGAAAATCTTGTATTTGGGTAAGATGTCGTCTAGATTTCACATTGTAATATGTATTTTGTCTCATTTCCAACGATTTTTTCTACAACATAATATAACAAACCGTTCCAGAATCGGACAAAAATGTTTCAAAATGAATATTCAATTTTGTAAATGAATAAAAACAGCTTGAAGTCATTTCCACATAATGTTCTCAAAATGAACAACAATGGTAGATTTCGGGAGGAAAACAACTACTTTCCGAACGAATTGAAACAAAACGCAAATGAAAGGGGGAAATGTCCCCGTTGCGAATATCCAAACGTGCCGCGATTCAAACTGATCTAAGTAAGTGGCAGAGAGTCAATATTCCCGAGAATATTCCGCCCTCGTCGAAAGATAATATCCGATGAACCAGTGTAAAACTCACGTGGTGTTCGCACTACAAGAATTCTAAAGGCCGTGTCTCACGGTCCAACAAGTTGATCAAATCTGTTCGATGTGACGTCATTCTTGCCTGTTTGACTCAAATGTAAATAAAAATCCATTGTATGGTAAGTATTTGCAGAGTGGACATTCATCATGGAATGAACGAGTTTTCCAATAAGTTGTTCAAGTTGTAAGTCATAATAAGGAGGCCAATAATAATAAGTACCTAACATGGATGTGACTTCATCAAAAATATAACTTCTTGTATATAATATGTCTGATTAGGAGATGCTAATATCACGAATTGGGGATGATATTTGTATACTACAGAATTTTTCCGATAACCACTAAAATATTCGCTATGTTCCGAACCACCCTGTATATTGTTAGTACGTGCAGGAATTATCATACTTCATAGTAGATTTGTATCGATCATTCGAACAATCAATGCACAGTTGATTTGGTTTTGATATTATGAAAGGTGTCTTCACAATTTCTATCTATAAAATTTTGGAAAAGTTAAGTCAAGTCAACTTCATCACCCTATATAATCTTAACTGTTGATTTTATTTAGCGCGTTGTTGCAATGGAGACATTTGATCAGCACCACGAGTACTACAATATATAAAAAATTCGAGTAAATTCCCCGAAAGCCAATTTCCCATTGATGCGGTGCAGGGTCCTTTGCAGCCGATTATAACTGAGGATTCTGCCAATTATAAAAATTGACTTTCTACTTTCCACTGTTCGAATTTCAGTAACCATGAGTAAACCTACTCCGAGAGGTACTCACTCCTCGCTTCTGGTGTTCTAGAAGGAGTATCCGATTTAGAATAAACAACCCAAGTAGGTATATTGCAGTAGGTTGAAGCTCCTCCCCATCAATCCATCATCACGTGAAATCGAATCAAGAAGCCCATCATCATCAAGAAGTGGCAGGGGTCTCTTGGAGATCCGATAGTCTCTTGTTTCTCTCCTTTCTGTCCCCGTCAACTCAACAAATGTAAAGAAGAAAAAGAAGAACCAAAGTCGAGTAGGTAGTAGGTTTTGTTAGGTGTTAGGTTAGTGTATCGCCATCAACAGGTGTATGAAGAAGTGACGGTGTTTGGTTGGTCCTGCCATACACGTGGGTATCGTAAGGCTGAAGCTACAACTAGAGATTGAAAAAAGAACGATTTTTTGTTATGACTTTTGGTACAAACATTATTGGGGATGTTTGTGAGTGTGCTGTGAGTTGATGTTAGTTTCTCGCATTGCAGAAGGAAAGTTGAGGTAGGTTAAACCGTTGAATTCTGTGAATATTATTATTTTCTTGACAGTTGGCAGTTGGTGAATGGCTCATCAAAAATATTTTTTGAATGAGCTAGTACTACTTGAGGAGCAAAAATACCTCTTCAGCTCACCCTATTTACTTTTCTGTCTTCTTTCAGTGAATTTTCCATTCAAATTCACAGGGTGTTTCATTACTAACTGGAAATACTTCAACTTTAGAATACTGACCTCAAAATGTAGAGATTTTACCAAAATCACCTATAGATAAAATGTATATCTCATGTCTAAGTCGTTTAAAAATTCGAAAATGTTATGTTATGTTTTTTGTTGATATGGATGAAAGGTTTCATTTACGTGAAGAATGTAATCCTGATGATCAACAACACCGAAATAATTAATACACATCAAAGTCAAAATTTTCATTAATCCAGATTTTTTGGGGATTTTCTTTCCTCGTCTCTATGAAATAAAAATATGAATACTATTTCAATATACGTGTAGTGAGGACAAATCAGATGATTTGCCCCAAAATGTCACTGCGTTTAAAGAATTTTCCTATCAGAGAGCGTAAACGAAAAATTCACTTGCTTGTCAGTGACAATTTGTATTGAAAAAGGTTTGAAGGAGAGAAATAAAGGTATATAGAAAAAATATCAAATTTTCACTTATCTTTGGACGTTTCGGGAACGAATGTGCCTCCGTTTCCGACATAAAAATTGATTTTTTTTATGGCAAATTCGTATTTGTCCTGACACTTTTCAGTTCTCAGTGACAATTGGTGACATTGGTAATCAAATGAGTTACAGGATGTTTTCATTAATTAATCTTGAATTCACCATTTTCATATTCAGATTTCAGTAGTGAATACCATGTTCTATCTATATCAACTGAACAGGAAGCAATGCTATTGTCTCCGTTCAGAAGAATGCAAGCAGATTCTTTCATTTTTCTGACATATGTTTATATGAACTTTTTCTCATTTTCACCCAAAAATACGACTTTGAAATTTTAGACACTTCCTGCATAGTTGAAATATTTCTTACACTGAGAGGACAGTTTCTCGTAGATAGATAAAGTTTAATCAAAATTGAGAAATATCTGCATTGAATATGGACTATAAGTTATTGAATTTGACTCAAATACACCCTGATATCTCAGTTATTATAATGATGCTATCCTCATTAAACTGTATGTATGTATGTTGAAACAATGAAGTATTTAGCAGAGTGAAAAGTTTCATTCACCATTGGCGTGCAATGTTGAGGGGTACAAAAAAGGCCATTGTTCGGAAAAATGATGTTAGGGCTTAATTCAAATAACTGTTTCCATCAGATTCAGAATCAGCATCCTCAAAAATCCCCCAATTCATATTTTCAAAATCTCAAGAGAATTTCAAAGTCCTGCTTTTCATGACTACGCCCCAAAATCTCAGTTATAAATGATGTGATTTTCTCGAAGCTGTGATGTTAATTATATGTTATCTTTTAAATATACAATCACCATCAAAATTTCAAGAAAATCGCATCGTTGATAACTGAGATTTAAGGGTGTTGTAATGAAAAGCAAGATTTTGAATTTTTTTCATTTTAGCTCTTGGGATCTTGAAAATAGGAGTTGGGGAGTTTTTGAGGATGCTGATTATGAATCTGACAAAAAAGTTATTTAAAATGAGTCCTAATATCCTTTTTCCAAATAAAGCCTTTCATGTACCCCTCAACATCGCACGCCAATGGCGAATAAAACTGTTCATTCTGCTTAATACTTCCTTATTCTAACATACAATCACTACAAATTTCAAGAGAATCGCACCATTATTAACTCAGATATCAGATGTATTCATGAAAAGAGGGACACACTGTATATACTTAATGATGAACGAATATCACTTCCTCTATACTCTAAATTAAAAAATATCTGCATTGAATATGGACTAAGTTATTACATTTGACACTAACAAATCATATTATATTCTGTTGACTCAAATATATATACTTAATGATGAACGAATATCACTTCCTCTATATACTTGAATGTACCTCAAATATAAATGAATAATTGTTTAACAGTAAGTTATGGAAATTAATAGTTAACAAATCATTATTCAATGATAATTGATATTTTTCAGTAATATACGGTACATTAATAGTTGAGAAATTCATATTTAAATATGAATTGATTTTTATTCACATAAATTACATACGGCAATAATACAAAAGAATATATTCGAAATATTAATACCTTTAATAAATATTTGTTATTGATAAAAGGAATATCTAAACTCATATTGATGTTCTGAAATCCTGCTATTATGATGAGAGTATTCTATTTCCTCTTCCTTCAGATCATGGTTGAACCTGGAATATACCAATAAAAAGTTCAATATAGTAGAGATAGGTATACCGTACAGGGTAGGGTGTTTGTTGATAGATTTTGCTCAAAAATTTCCGAAATAAATTGATATTTCTTCGAAAATGGCTTTAGATAGGCATAGGGAAACATTGGACAAACCTGATGAGAAATCAACGTAGTTTCAGAAAATTAAATAATTTACAAGGTTCCAATTGAAGTAACAAAGTTGCTTCTTCTTTCTGATACAAGCGGCAACACTGTATCGATGAATGTATTTTAGAGGAATAGCGAATGCTCAATTATTGATGCATAAAAATTTTCAGAATAATCTGTCGTTCCGTTCTTCAGATACCTCTGATACACCATCCACCGTGAATCACTCTGTATACCTACCTCACGGTCTACAGGGTCATTCACCTAACTAACTCATTAAATGTTTATAGAGAATCAAAAGTGACATCAATCTGAAATGTTGGGTATACACAGCCATTGCGTGATGTGATCTACAGTATGTCCAAGATAAGGTTATTTTTAGTTTTTTAGTCATATCGAGAAAAGTGAATTTTTGGAATATTTTTTTTTCTCCGTTATTATTGGTGAAACAGAAAAACTGAAAATACTTTTCCATAGCAACTTTTGATGAAGTTTAACGTGGTTATACCGATTTTTGTATGCGACGTTTCGTATCACCATCACCATCATCACTTTCGTTTTTTGAATAAGTACGGTCCTGATGATTTTTTCACAGATTCTGAAAGATTTTTTTATTCTAAATTCAACCATGTATTATACAAGGTGATTTGAATGTGTTTCAATCTATTTCTATCCATTATCAATGTTCTTTCGAACTTCCAAAGGAAAAGTGCCATCAGTTCCAGTTCAACAGTGGTAAACTATTGAGGCCTAGTTGAAAGAATTTTTAGTTTGTTGATTTCTAGGTTTTTCTAAGTGACTTAGGCAAGCCAAGGTTAGTTTATTTCATTGTACCACAGTATTTCACCTGATTCAGCTACTGTGCTAGCGAAACATAATATCGTTTGTGAAGTTCAGGTATACTTGGATACAAAACATAAAAAAATTAAATGTCTGGTGCGTCCTATATAAATTTGCCTTGTAACATTTTTTGTAGCATATGACCCATGAATCTACGACACTGGGTATCTAATTCCGTTGTACCTGACTGCTTATTTCGAAAGATATTCAATAAGATCAGAATCATTGGTCCACTCTGTGGTGAAATATAACGAAAAAACTGTTCCGCCTGCCGAATCTCAATAAACATCCTAGATTTCGGTTAGTAGGCATTTTTATGGAAACGAACAATATGAGATATTTGAAAAGATATTGGCGATTTATATGAAAATAAACTGACCGGGGCCAGAACGAACTGACCAAACCATATTTTTGAGAACTGAAACTAGTGAAAAAATATGCCTGTGCCTATTTCTCAAATCGAGCTTTCACATGCTCGAATCACTAACTCGTAAATAATTCATCAAACAGATTACGTCGGATATTATTACTCTTCTTTCATCTAGGTTTGAGGATTGTTATTGCTTATTCAAAATGACATTCATAAAAAGTATAATAATAATAACATGTTGTTGAACCAATAAAAAAATGCATTTGTAGGTAGATATTATCATTATTGGTTCCGATTCCACTAATGAGTCGAAACTTGGTATTTCCGTTCAATCATTTATGCACCCAAATCAACTTTTATCTTTCATTAACTATTCACTAAAAGATGACCAACTTTTATCTCTTAACGACAAATACAAGTAAAAGTGTGTCTCGCGCAGGCGCGATTCTGTCAGAAGTCAGACATACAATTTCTTCTTCTTATTTTTTCAAAATGTGGTTGAAAATTCACAAAATTCTAGTTGCCTGTTCAAATTAGAATTTGAAAACAATATGACCATATTTCGACTACGAAATAGTCACAAAATGCTCAAACTGGAATGAAATATTACATAAATACAAAAAGCTCAAAGTTATTTTCATACAATGTTAATAATAAAATGAACAACAATGGTAGATTGCGGGAAAAAACAACTACTTTCCTGGCTAATTGAATTACATAGAAAATTGAATTACATCATCCCGAAATCTGTGCATCGACTCGTATAAACGAATACTGATACAAGTGATTCTTTCCTGGATGCCTATTGATCTCGATTTAGCCAGGCCAAGCTAGACACCTACAGACCGGTTTCGAGCTCTTTGACTCTCATCAGTGCAGGGCACTCTCCAGCCAGCAGTCCTAAGACCGCCGACTAAGCGTAACCGAGCCAAACGAGTTGTATGAGATTTGAGTATATAAAAAACAGGAACGAATAGTAAACATGAACAGAAAAAATACAGAACAAATAAAAAAATTGAACGTAAGAAACAAACTGTTATTACAGAAATACATGAAAAATTTAGTTCAATCTAAATCAGATAAAGTATTGTCCTTTTTTGGATTATACATTAGTACATAATATATGTACATTTATTACTTATTTTAAATAGAGCGTGCCAAAATATCATGCAATTCATAAGGTGTATGTGATCAACTAAAGATTCATAATAATATAGGTAATTATGATAAATAATAAGTGTCAAAATATTTTTCAGTAGGTGATGAAATGTTTCAGTAAATCAGCAGA